CTCATCTAGCACAGTTTCTCGCAAGGGATACAACAATGGAATTACAACGAAGAATTTTTGTTGGTATGTCAACGCTTAAACCCTCAAAATGGGGAGGCATCAGTTTGGTGTAGAAGTATTTGATGAGTGTCTGCAGCAGTTCTAAAGCCAATTAGGTGACATCTTGCTGGAGGAAGGCTTTGAAGGATCATCCAAAACTTTAGCGAGTGATCGATACTGAAACTTTACACTCTCTGCATTGTCCAATGTCTTCACTACATACCTGTACATAAGTCTTTCTGTTAACAACAGGAGCAAGTTTCACGTATTTATTCCAAAGTAACACATGATCAGGTATAAAAGCACAAGCATGATTAGGGGAAGAAATTTTTGAACTAATAACAGAACTCACTTCCACTGTATTCTATTTAGTTAGCTTTATGAAACAACGAATAGATTAGCATCTTATATATCAAGAAAAACCAAGTTAACATAGCAAACAGAGATTTAATGATTAACTGCTTGGAGAAAAAATATATATAATCACTAACCATCCATTCAGGCATTGCGTTGTTACAATCGCTTCACGCCCAACAAAGCGTTGTGGTGTCCTTTTGTTTCCCTGATCCAATTTCTCTCTAATTATTTTCTTTAGAGAAAAAGGTAAATGTTAAATAAAATCAAACCTTTTCACACATTACCTTTATGACAACCCGGTCCATAACAGCATACGGAAACTGAACACCTCTACTCCTTGATGGCTCCATAACAGATGAGTCTCCAAATCCACCCTGTCCTACGTAAAATATATTTCATATTAAAAGAAGAGGGCAGTCTCATGGCAAAACACATTTAACTTAAAAGACCGCTAACATGCCTAAGAGTTTAATGATTTTCTATTCATATCCGTTTATCACGATAACAAAGTATAACATGGTACAGCAATGAGAATAAACACCTGATCAAATCTCTCTCTTCTTCTTTTAGGTGACCGGTAGAATTGAGACTCCTCTTCCCGACGATATGCCTGCACAGCAGCTCGAAGTGCTGATCAAGGCAGCCAACACCCCAAGAAAGAAAATCAGAATTGCACAAAATGGACTTACTAAGTACAGTACTTCAGATATCTTTTACGTGGTGTTAAAGCAATTTCATTGTCAAAACCAGTTGATATTCAAAGGAATTGGTTGCATAGTTTTACTTAATTTCTTAAGTGCATAAATCTAGGAGACAGACTTTGTCAAAATTATATGTTATAATTTGGAGTATAATGGATATATAGAGCACATTTAAGAAGAAAAATGGGGCATAATTTGAGTGGAAGTGATTGAATTTTGCTTACATAGGTTAGGAGATATTGATTCCTCGGTTGTGGGTTGAGAACAGGTGCAGCAAGCTTTCTGAGTGCATCACACAATAACTATATCAGCTAGTTTACAACATGGTAAATCCTGATCAAGGAAGTAATTTCTTACACATAAAAAAAAACAAAACAAAAAACAAAAAAACTTTTTAATAAGAAGCCTAGGTTGAAATACCTAGCTAATAGTCACTTACTAAAACAGGTCAAAGGTACTTTTAACATGTGGCAGCCATGTGTATTATAACCAGCTATGGGTTGATCAGCAACCCAAAGATATACAGACAAGCCAAATTACCACATTAATTTTCATTTCTAGTCAATCTATATTAAATAGGGAACTCCCAATATTGTCTTCGGTATTAATTCTCAAGAAACATAAGTAGACTTTAATGTCCATCTCCATACGTTGACTTCTTTTTTAAATCAACTATATTCTTCACCTTGAAATTTTTGTCTACTTCATCAATAATTCTTCTCAAAACGCATTCCATAATTTTCCATTTGGACTGCCCATCCAAGTTAATCAAAGGATCACTGCATTCTTATGTCCTAGACTCACAGTTGACATTTAACCTTGTGTTTCTTTTAAAATCACTTTCGGAACCATACAAGGCTAAGGAGTACAACATATAGTTTCCCCATGACTAAGGACATGTGGACTGTTCCCCAATGTTTTCACCTTTAAATAAAATATCTCCAATTCTTTTTCTAAATTTAAAATTACATTGAAAATGTAGGGTCTGAACCAAAGATCAACAATGATCCTCAGATATTTTTCTCTTCACAACCAGAGGGGCCCCAACAAAAACAAAAGTATAACGTTTCACATGAATTCCCATCAGTATCATCTTGCGAGGAAAGCAGACATTTTCATTTCAATACTTTTGACACTAAGTCATTAGAAGAGCAGAAGATTCCAAGATTCCACTGGGTATCAGTTTAACAAATAAAAGAAAAACGTATTATAATTTTAACAAATTTTATACTGTTGTGAGTACAGAGAAACTTAAATGTTCTTGGAACAGTAAAGTATGATCAGGATCATGCAAAAGAAAAGACCAACACTGGATAAGTTGAAAATGCAGAATTTTGCAAAAAATTCGATAGATGGTTTGAGGCTCCTGCCAACCTACTGTGTAAAGGCATATAGACAAGAAAAAGAAGTTGAAATTACCAGCTCCAAAGTTAATAAAATTTTTCAGATGACTTAGTCACAAAAAGGTCAGTCTGAAAGTTATGGCATTTGATGGATTAGAACCCACCATTCTAATAACATGCTGTATTCCACTTCCGCTAAATGAATGTCCACACGGTAATATCATTGCGTCATCCATAAGAGCTCCACTTTAATTCCGTGCCATAAGTCAAATATAAAAAGTATTAGTTAGTTGTAGGCGTGCATAAACAAGACAAGCAATATATCAGCAGATCAAAGTTATTTTATTGTATGTTTGGAAAAAAGAAACACATGTAAAAACACCAAATTTGAGTGTGCTACTCTACACTCTGCACCATTAGATTTTAGACTTTAATTAAAAGATCTAAACAAACAAGGTCTGTTTCAACAAATTGAACAATTTCTTTCACATGAGGGATCAATTAGTGTTAATAGATAATCTTAATAACCCCAACTGACGCTTCTTCTTCCTTGTTACACAAGTTTTCTGGCTGACAACCAAACAGGTAGAGAACAGCTTCTTTGACAGGAAACTACCGACTATCTACTGGTAAAGCTATAAAGAAGATAAACATAAAAACTTTGGTATTTCTCATTGATAGATAAGAAAGACACATTTATATAGCCAAAATTATGCCAAGTGACAGCTCTAAAAATGGCATCATCTCATTTTAGAGAATTAAAATTTAAACTAAATATTATATATAATATTCTAATATTTTAACTATATCCTATAAAATCCTTCAACCGCTTAATTTTCTTTGGGCGCCATTCTTCTAAAGGAAAGCAAGAGTCAGTTTACAAAGAGAGTAGTATATGTATGGAAACAAGCTCATTAAAATGGGTTAGTTAAAGAACAAAACAAGGCATTTCAGCGCCAATTAGGTTTAGCAAAATGCCATGGGCTAGTCGGAGAATACAAGCAATAAAAATGAATATAAAGTAAGGAAAGGTAACGTTATCCTGCATAAGTCTACGTAATCTCAAACATTGTTCAAACAATCACAACATAAAGGAAAGAACCCATCACCAACTAAAAACAACAATTTTTTTTCAATCCTCGGGCTTTAAAATGAGTTGACTTACGTAACAGGATCTGAAAGAATATTCCTGAGTGATTCCCCTGACTCGGTAGAATACATTGCATCCTTTCTCCCACTAAACCCACAACCACCATCATCGACCATAACTTTGTGACCAGAAGCCCCATCGGCACCTTGAAGATAGTGCGAATAGTACTCCTCACAGTCAGTGTCAGCAACGGTAACAGAATTCTGAGACTTACCTAACCCCTCTTGCCGATGATCTTCATCACCACCACCATTCACATTGCTAAGCACCAACTGCCCAATCTCTCCACCATCCTTCCCCAACAGCTCTCTCCCAGAAACTACATCCAGAAACAACAAAATGTACATAAAAATCCGAAAAACAGTCACATTCTGAAGATAATTAATTAAAAGAACAAATTTCTTCATTCATAGTTTCATACCAAAAGCGTGAGCTTTCCCGTTTGCAACAGAAGGCAAATTACCACCGCCACCGTTGTTGTTAGCGATAATTTCCCTTTTGCTTCCACCACCGACGAGTCCTTCAACTTCCGTATCGCCTTCGTCGTCGTCCTCATCCTCGTCATCTTCGTCGTCCTCGTCGGATTCGTCGTCCTCGCTGGGAGTGGCGGCGGTGCCGTTGACGGTCCAATTGCGGGGGTCTTGGCGGGAGGAGCAGTCGGCGTAGCGGCGGAAGTCGGGGTTCTGGGCGGCGAAGAAGCGGTCGCGGTCGATGAACATCTTCTCGTCGATGAAGGCGCCGAGTTCACGGGTTTTAGGACCCGGGTCTCCGACCCGACGCTGCGGCGTGGGGCAATTGAAGCGGAGAGGGTCGTCTTGGAAGACAAGAGGGGAGCTGAGACCGTTCTCGATCCTCTGGTCGGGGACGAGGGTGATGTCTTCGGAGGACATGGGAGGAAGAGAGAAAACTAGGGTTTGGACACGGTGGTTGCTGGAACGACGTCGTTGTGATTTGGTGTTTCAGTGTGGTGGATGGAGAAGGAAGGGATTGGAGTGTTCACACCCGCTGGGACATGAGTTGAACGACGAGTCGTTTTGGGCTGCGACGTTTTAAGAAGATTTCGCCGGGGAGCGACGTCGTTTGGGTATGGAGCTATTATTCTTTTGAATTGACACATCAGTCGTTACCGTAGTGTTTTTTCCCCATGCCCCATGTAACATGTTATGATACGGTCGTAAAAGGATCTCACTCTCTCTGAATTGATAAGACATTGAGCTTCCTTATTATACCACACAATGAAGTTCACACTTCACACCCCCATTTCCAAAATATAATTTAGGATAATGTATTTTCATTGTTTTTCCAATCTATTGCAACTAGAAATGTAGTGTTTGGAATATTTATGTTTTAAGTGTTATTGATAAAGGACTATTTTTTTTATTGTGAAGAAGAATTTGATAAAAAAGTGTTTGTAATTTAAACATCATGAAGGTTATAGTTTGAAATAAAATTATAAAATAGTTTTAAGCAATTAAAAATAGTTGTAATTTTTTTTTAATTTTTAAACAGTTTGTAAGTGTTGTTAGCCTACAAATAATTAGGTGAGCTAATTCGCTAGACGAAGAATTTGAGTTTGTTTTTAAATTTTTAAGTTATTTTTGAGTTTGATTTTTTGGACTTTTTTTAAAGTTTCTAAGATGGTTTAAACATTTGTGTTTATATATTAGAGTGTCAAATACATATACAGAGACGTTAGTTGGTTCTTAATATAGAACTATAGTTCTTATAAAAAATAGACTTTTTTTTGTAACAAATATTTGTTGACTCATTAATATGTTAGATTATAACGTCTTATATTCCGATTCTTATCAAAGATGGACTTCTTTGCTACGAATGTTTATTCACTCATCAATTTGTTAGATTGTGATGTCCTCATATTCTGATTCTTATTAAAAATGAAATTTTTTTATGACAAATCTTCATTGACTTATCAATCCATTAGATTGTGACATTATCATTTATATCTTAATTATGAGTTTTTCTCTAGTTTCTTTTGTTATAACATATGAAAGAATCAAACTCATAACTCTTTCCTAAATAAATTATTATAATTTAGTAATTTTTTTCTTTAAAGACGATAAATATATATAAATATATAAATAAGCGATGTGTGGGATTTTTTATTTTAATTTTGACACACATGCTACTTCCTTAAACTCTAATTTTTGTGGGTACTTTACTTTCTGTTTTGGGTGTAAGATCAAGCAACTCCACAAAACATGTCTTCACACTTTCACTTCTAAACTGCTCGGGTAGTTGTATTCATCCTTAGTCCAAATTCTCCTTCGTCTGTGCTCCAAACTGGTCGGGGATACCTTTCAAAGGTACTTCAAAGCTTAAGTTAATAAACAGTCCGAATGGGGTCAAAGCAAATTCTTAAATTCACAATAAATGTGATCGATCTACCTCTTACCTTTGACCTTTATTTATACCTTTTGAGATGGGCCTAAGATTAATGGAACCTTAATCACGGCCCAATCTCAACCCATCACACTAATCAATACTTATCGTTAATCTTAACTCTTGATATCCCTTAAGAAGTATTTGGTGCTAAGATCGCTCGTCCGACCTACACTTCTGCATGACCGGATGACCATCATATTTTCTTTGCTTGGAATTGGGTATTTATCGCACTGGGTCGCCCGTTCCTCCTTATTTGTCGAGACCGTTCGGCCATATGGTACACAGGACCTAAGGCCCTAGGCAACTGTAGTTGGCGTTGGGATTTATCACAAATGGTTTAAATTGGGTGTCGTCTGTTGTGATTTGGGTGATGGACCATCTGATGCATTTTGAACAGGTGATTTGGCGACAAAATACGTGTCACGTTATCGTGTCCTCCGCTTCTCGGGAGTGGTAAGGTCGCGTGATCCAGACTGTGTTGAAACAATCGATATTGATATTGCACAGCGGAAATAATAAAACATAGAGTACGATACAGATTTTTAAAAGCAAAGAGCTTGTTCGGTCAATTTAAAAAAATGGTTCCTTTAATTTTCTCTTAAACGTTTTATCAAATAGTTGATGTGCTAAAAGTTTAAAGAGTGTAGAGTTCAAGAAAATCAACACAGAAATTTTATCCTGGTTCGAATCAAAAGATTCTACGTCCAGTCGCTAATCACTATGAATAGTGATTAACCTTTTTCAGTAAAATAATGTTTGAATAGATTACAAGATATGAAGTAAAGATTAAGAAACGAGAACACCTTTCGTTCGACAAACGAACAGAAGAACCTTCCTTCGACCAACGAACTGAAAGAGACAACTCAGCTAACTTGAAGAGAACCGCTCCGACCTTTGACATACAAAGCGAGCTTCTCCTTTTCACAAGACTTGGCAAGAGCACACTATCACTTTGAGAACTTCCTCAGACAAACTGTATTCTCAAAATGGCATAGATTCTCTTTTCACTCACAGAGAGCTTCTCTTAGGCACATAGCTCTAATACTCTCAAAATGAAAAGTTTCGTTCTAAGAGCTGTAAAGACCTCTATCTATAAGCCCGGGTTCGTGTAGGGTCAGAAACTGAAAAGACATCTCCCAACTAACAGTGATAATCGATTATCATAAGTGATAATCGATTATTTGTGTCCGTTATGGGGTTTTCAAAAAAGTGATAATCGATTATCCTAGGGAATAATCGATTATTTGCGCGACTTGGGCAATAGTGACTCAGACTGGAATAATTGATTATCCTGAGCAATAATCGATTATTTGCGCGAGCAAGTCTTTTCCAAACAGACTCATGATAATCGATTATCACACCCAATAATCGATTATCTACGCAAAGACTCTCTAAACAAGAAAACTTCTAAGTGTTCTTACATCAATAAAGTAAACCCTATACAATTAATTCTACAAAATGCTTTTAAAATAAGTACAACAAAAGTATTCACGCTCTTCATCTTGTAGCATCATCAAAACCATAATATCTTCAAAACACCAATGCTCCTCATTGGTAACAATCTCCCCCTTTTTTATGATGATAAAAAATCTCTTGTTTAAAAGCATTTCTAAATATCTGCACAAATTTCAGACTTACAAACACACAACATGTTAGTAATAACTGCACTAGTTTAGAAGTTTTCTCTCCGTTTTTTATCATAAGCAAAAAGTAAATAGAATCTCCCCCTCAAGTGTTGCTCCCCCTCAACAAAAAGAATGCAATTCAAATATTATAAAATTGTTGAGTACCAGAAGCAATTCAAATATTATAAGGGGAAAAAAGTAATTTATCTATAACAGAGATAAATAACAAGATATCGAACAAACTCATGTATCTCCCCCTCAAATAGGTAACATTTATCACAAGATTATGACATAAGATGTCAATAAAAATTTATTCCCTTTTTATCATAAGCAAAAATATCGTTAATAAAAATTCCCCCTCAAATGGTCATCCCCCTCAACAAAAGAATAGATGCATTTCTTTCAAAATAAAATAAAATTTAAATTTTCATAACATGAAAGAGCAAAATACATCATGAATTACAAAATGGAAATTCAACTTTAATCAAGAAATGCAATTAAGACTTGGAAAGGAGGGGTTTGAGGATAATCAGGAGGTTGAAGATGTCAATAAAAAATTTCTCCCTTTTTTTTTATCATATTCAAAAGATCATCTAATCTTGATGCTCTCCCTAAATTAATTAAATAAAAAATAATTTAGGTCCTTTTAATTCATTAAAAATTACTCCCCTAAAAGTAATATTTCCCTTTAAAATCAAAACAATATTCCAAAAAAAATTTAAAAAAAGTTTTTTTAACGTTTTAACTTAAGATAATCGATTATTACACCAAATAATCGATTATTTGCGAACCAAATTGTCAAAATTCATATTTTGAGACAGAGATAATCGATTATTACCCTTGGTAATCGATTATTTACGTTAATTTCCGAAAAACGCAAATTTAGGCCAAATTTTCAACCTAAGACACATCTAGCATTCATAAATTATTTTCAAAACTGTTAAAAATTACCAGGATACCAGAGAGTTTTCTTTTCCTTTTGAGAATTCAACATGCAAAACAAAACAATAGAGTTTTGGTCCCCATAATCTCATTTGGGTCCTTTGAGGTTAGAGACAAATTACTTTATAACAGGAATCCAAGCATATTTTCCATTAGGAACATCAAAATATTTAATTCTACATTTGTTAGAAGTGTGTCCCTTTTTCATACAGTAAAAACATGTGACAACATTTGAATTTCTATAACAGACAGATCCTTTTTCAACCCATACCCTACGGGTTCTTTTAATTTGGTTCTTACTTTTTAAGAACTCTTTTATTTTTATAAACCTTTTTAACAAGTATAGACATTTGAACATTATTATTTGTAGTTGCCACTTCAAGAAGATTTTCAAGAATATCAATATCAAGCATATGACTCTTACATGAAAGACATTCAACAAGATGTTCAATATTTGCAGACTCTTTCATTTCTAAATTGCAGATTTTATTTCTCAAAATTACTTCCTCATCTAATGACTTCTCATATTTAATTCGTAATTCTTTAAATTCCTTTTTCAAATTTTTATGAGAAACATTCAATTTTTAAGATTAATCAAGAAATTCAAGAAAAGCTTTTTGCAAATCAAATTCACTAGATTCAGAATTAGAACAACTTACTTGGCTTGCAGTATCATCAGTATTTACAGTCAAACACAAGTTTGCTTCTTCATCAGAATCACTTGAGCTACTTGAGTCATTATCATTCCAAGCAATGTAGACCTTCTTCTTTTTGTGACTTTTCTTTTCCTTTCTTTCTTCATTTCTCTTGTTTTTTGAACAATCAACTTTAATATGGCCTCTTACACCACATCTATAACATTTGAAGCTTGTTGAGGAGCCTTGATTGTACTTCTTTTTCTTCGAGTGTTGGCTTCCAAATGATTTATTGTTGGCCATTAAGCATATATTTTCTTTCTCATCTGAATCGCTTGAGCTTGAGGACTTTGATGTAGAGCTTGAATCAAAAAACGTCAACTTAACCACATATGTGACTTTATCATGACTAACTCTTAAGAATTCCCACATTTCCTGAGCACTTTCATAAACAGAAACTTTGACGAAATCATCAAGGGTTAGTGCAGATAAAATTATATTCCTAGCCCTAACATCATATTGTGTCATTCTGTTTTCATCCATAGTCCATTGTAAAAATGATTTTTCTACCTGGATATCA